TATTTATCTTATGAAATTATAGACGCTTCAAATGTTATATTAGTCAGACAGGTAATTTTTGATTCGTTTCAGAAATGTATGGAATATGCAGGAAACTTGAACTTAGTTTAATGGGAGTAGTTAGTAATGGTGTAAATTAATAAATTCAATCATTGGTACAAAGTTTTAGATTTCTTGGTATTAGTGGTCCAAAGTTGGTTTTCATCCAAATTAAAATCCGGTTCTGTTTTCCAAACCCAGAGGCATGTGATCTAATGTTGCAACTCTTGCACTGGCATTACCATCAATTAGCGTGGATTCTATCTTAATGTATGCGGAAATTCTCCTAAGACATTGCTTACGCCGTTGTTGCTTTTTCGTGATAAAATAGAATTACTTGTAAAAGATTTTAACCGCTATCTTTGAATTGATTGCAACTGCAACTTATGTCTTTTGAACAACAGTAACAATTCATTGTACAAGAGAAATGAAAGCCTATTTTTGAAGTTGAGTTTTAAATTTCCTTGCACAATTATTTTTGGAACTCTCCTAAATTACTTTAATATGTATTCTAAATGAACTACATATAGGTACAGCAATTTTTTCAAATTCCTACTTGTGTAAGAAATTGCTTAATATGAAATTATTCTTGCTTGTTTTCCGCCAGCTGAGTTTTATTGTAGGAGAAAATTGCCTTCATCTCTCTGATCTTCCGCATTTTCAGGAAGATTGGTCATGATTCTTGAACTTTTGACTTACTGTTCATGTCATGTTTAACTGGCATTCTTTCGCAAAGTTATGAAGCACATAATAAATTTCACATTGATGTAACTTATTGTAAAATGATATATGGATTTTACTATTTTTATTACCTTCCCGTAGGATAAGTTATAGTAATCGCAAAAAAATGGACAATGAAATTTTTTATACATCTTTACGTTGAAGAGGTTTCTGAACATTTTGGCTTACATTAGAAAAAGTGGATGTATGTGTGTGTGTGCGGATACAAATTTTCGTCGACAATTTCGGGAACACGGTTCAACCGATTTCAATTATTCAAAAAACATTCGATTGCTGTTGATAAGGAGACGTGCTGATTAGTTTGTGCATTAGAAATATGCACATAAAATTATCAGATATTTTATAGAGATTTTAACAATAAGTATAAATTTTGATTACATTCCTATGGATTCCGTACCAATATTTATCCATTAAGACGGCGACGCAGCGCGTACGCGCTTCTATATTTCTTCTCTATGCAGTTAAAGCAGTACGATTGCTTCGAAAAAAGTTCAGAACTTCCGAAATGTTTTAGAATAAAAAAAACTTTTTTTTTCAAAAAGCCTTTTTTCCAAAAAACTAATTTTTTTCTTCAAAAATTTATAGTTTTTTAAAAATCCAATTTTTTCAAAGTAAAATTTTTTGCAAAATGTTAATCTTTTTAAAAAAAATAATTTTTGGTATGGGAAGTTCCAGCAATTTGCCTTAAGGCACGATGCCATGCGCCCCACATAGTTAACTTCCCGTAGGGTAAGTTATTGTAATGGGCCGAAAATCGAAATTGAAAATTTTTACATTTCTCGACGTTTTGAAGGTTTCTGAACATTTTGGCATACCTCAGAAATAATGGATGTGTGTGTGTGTGTATGTGTGTGTGTATGTGTGTTGTGTGTATGTGTGTGTGTATATGTTTGTATGGATACAAATTTCCAGTCACGTTTTCGGGCGCACGGATCAACCGATTTGAATGGTTCAAAAAACATTCGATTCCTATTAATAGGGAAAAGAGCTGATTAGTTTTTGGCAAAGGCAGGTCCAGCCGTTACGGAGATACGGAGCAAAGAGTGCAGAAAATAGAAATCGAGTTTTTGAGAGAACGGAGTGTCCGATTTGAATGATGTGAAAAACATTCAATTAGTAATAATTGGAAGAAGTGTTTATTAGTTTTTGGCAAAGGCAGGCCCAGCCATTTCGAAGATACTTTCGAAAAATTTTTTGGTTCAATTTTTTTTTTCATTTTTTTTTTGTATATCGAAACTAATTCAGATTTTATTTTCAATTCTGAATATAGTTCTAATATACTTTAAACAAATAATTTCAACTTTGCAATTCAGTTTATATAATTCTTATAAATATTAGACAATGTTACAATATTAATAATAATCTATTTTAAAACATTCAGAATTCCTCGAACATTTCGTTACGGTACGGGAAGTTCCAGCAATTTGCCTTAATGCACGATGCCGTACACCCGACTAGTTTAATCATAAAATTATACTAAACTAAACGAGTTGGAACTACTTGATTAAATTTTTCTTCACCAGATTTTTCCTTTATCCCTCTCAAATTATTACCCAAAAGTCCTTTATATGTACAATTGATTTGATGATTCAACTATAATCAAACTATAAAACAACAACCTGTTTTCTCATCTTTTATCTAGATGTAATAAAAATTGTTTGTTTGCTAATAAAACGCTTTCTACAAAGCAATGTTAAATGCTCAGATTTTATCGCACTGTCTTGTCACGATATAATCAAACTACAAATGCAAACATGTTGTTAATTTCCAAAATTTTCCCATCACTTGTAATGATCATTATTGTTATTTCTAGCAACTATGGTATTTGTTCGATTGATGATTTTTATATGCTAATTAAATTGCTGACACATCTAGAGAAATTGGAGAGAATATTTAGATCTAAAAATTTTGTCATGTATAATAATAATAAAATATTAATTAGTAATACAAATTTATTAAGCTCTTCAAAATAATTTTCACCAAATTTTTCAACTAAATTTTTTATTTGAATTTGAGTAAATTAATAATATATTCAGAATGTTTGGAATAATTGTTAGTAGTTTCTTCTACCAATTTACTTCTATTAAAGTTTACAAATATATTTATTATAAACTCTATGTCATGGTTCTTAATAATTTGCAATTTTGGTCTGTGAATATCCAATTTTCAGTTCTATGATTAACTTTTTTAGAAATGTGTCAGTTATCAATATTTTTTTAGATCCAAACACGTAGTACAATCTTTATCAGTAAATTTCATCTCAGTTGTATAAATTATTTTATATTTGAAATGTGTTACTAGTTTCACACTTACCAAAAATCGTGACTAAATTTTGATACTATGAACTTCAGTTTAGGTCAGGAGGTCAGGTCCATCATAATTTAATTAACATGGAACCAATTAATGATTTTTATTTCATTCGATGAACTGTCGTAAAATTTCAGATTTCTAAAAAAACAATATTGTTTTATTATATAGAATTTGATTGACTTTGAAGTTGATGGTGGAATTGTAAAATAATTTAACATTCTCTTCGTGCATATGATTTCATACAGAACTTTTTAATATTTTTTTTGGCAATTGAACATTTTTATTTTTTTATAGTCCAGTTATGCATGTAATTATCATGTTTCATCAAATCATCTAGAATTTCATAATTTGTTATTAATTTAAAATTAATTTTGTTACCTACATCAACTAACACTGCCATTTATATGGTATTTGGAGTTTGTATTTAAAATATAACATCCAATCAAGTTTATGTTGTTTTTCAATATTGATTATCATTATTCAGCATTATTTTATTGTTATCGTTCAATAATAAAATAGCAGTCAAATTTCTTAGATGCCAAATTACAAATGTGCGATAACAAGTTTCTAGTAAATAAGAAGTAGATTGTTTAATAATAATAACACGAACAAATATTTCGTTCGATCTAAATTAATTATTCTAAAACAACCTCTAATTCATTTGTGAAGATGCTTTAAAATTGGCTGCACATTTGGTCTTACAAAAATTATTATAGAAGTTCTAATTATTGATGAATGATTGAAAAATTTTGGTCCTGATGTCAACAGTTTTAAAAATCTTAAATCCATATATTTTCATTAATGTTAGGCAAGTGTATGTTTTTTACAAGAAGGATATCTCATTGTTCAATTCCAAGAAATTATGCAAATTTCAATGACGTGTTTCACTACACATTTTAGCAACTTCATTATTTTACACAATTCCAGTCCCATTAAAAAGCTCAGTTATTATATATTTATCTACCACTCTATTGAACTAGATCTAAACATAATTTATATTACGTATTTGGAATCATTATCCCACTAATATTGTACATCAACAAAAGTTTCAATATTTATATAATATCGCGTGTATATTTTTTTAAACAATTGAATTATTTATTACAAATTTTAAATCATGTTTGCAAATCTGAATCAGAATTCTGATAAGCAAATCCACTGCTACGTGACTCAGAGTTTAATGAAGAAAATTGTCACATGTCATTATTCAGTTTAAATGCTTCAGTTTATATTGAGTAGAGTCATTTAGGTAATAAAATCTTGGAATTTATTATATTAAATGCGCATATATAGAATTTTAATGTTATTCGATAAATTGTCAACGAACTTATGGTTATTAATTGAATTTGATCCTAACTACTGAAGTTGGAGAAAAATCACTTTTCAAAAGCTATTTAAACTTACTGTATGAGATTCACTAATTTTTATTTTTTTTGGTATAATGGCAAAGTATAATCTTTAAACTAGAGCTTTTATCAATAACATTTGTTCGTTTTTAAATTAAAGAGCCTATAATTTATTCAAATATTAATAATAATAATTACCTACTTATTTATTCTATTACGCTCTATCATCGAATTTCGAAATAACTAGCATGGTTTATTTTTTAAACGATTTATTGTTTATTGCAAATGATCATATTAAGTGTTACAGTATTATACTCCAATAATAAAGTTACATAAAAATATTCTCATTATTATACACAAATTAAAAAAAAAGTATTATACATCAAGAAGCTAGTCCTATTTTACTCAATTTAAGCACCATCATTCTTTGATAGAATCCTTGGTAGAATTCTGATAAGCAAATTCAATGACATCTTTGCCAGTGCTGTATCCTAAAGAATTTAGTATCCAACACTAAATATATGATGATAAATATATTTAATGTATTTTTTTCTCCTTTTCCAGGTGGAATCCGGAGCACTAAATCTGACTTTCCCAGTAATGTTCAACCCAGTGACCTGGGATGCCCATGCTTTTCCGGTGTTCTTTGGTGGGACGGAAGTTGATGACGAAGGCCTCATCCGAAGAGTTCCTTCTTTACAATTGGTTTATTTTGTGGCTGCAGACACCAGGAGGCAGGATGCAAAGTAAGAGAAAAATTTATTTATATCACAATAAAAATAATATTTTTTTATTATGTTGCTAAATTGAAATGTAAATAATTAACAAAATGGTAATTGTTTTAATGGACGCATTTTTATATAATTTTTAGACTTATAATTATGTGATTTGTTGTAGTTTGTTTTGATAACCTTTATACCTTTTTTAGTTAAAACAATAGGTCTTATTTATATGAATTCTCTAATTTATATGAAAAATTTCTGTAATAATATTAGGTCTTTTTTATATAGGGTTTCCATAAAATGAATTCTACTATGATTATTTCTATTCCATCAACAAAGATATCCTATAAGAATAAGAATCTAACATAAAAGTACACTTAATCTTCAAATTAGAATTGTGAATATGCATTAAGTGTGGTCGTTGATTTTTTTTCTAACAAGAGGTTTTGTAAGAGGTCAAAATCTTAAAATTAGTATGATCAATTTGCACTAAATGTAGTTAGAATTTTGTTGCTAATTCAATACTATTATATTATTATTACTCTTCATAATATTTTCTAAAAAATTTCTAATTATTTGATGTAATCTAGTTGATATGAAAGCTTTCTTACTGTTGGAATTAATAAGGTCGATATGGTTTTTAATTTATTTATTAGATATGGAGTAAGAAACCCTTCAAGTTGATCTTTTCAGTTTTTTTTTTAAATAATTTACATCACTATAAATTTAAAAATTCCAAGTCTGCTAATAAGTATGATAAATATGTATAAAGTGTGTCGATATAAATTAATGCTTGGTACATTAAGCTGATAAGATTTTTTTTAATTTGCAACAATTGCATACTTGACTTAAAAATGTAACATCCTTTCTTAATACAAGCAAAATGGATATTTAAGTATGTAATTTTTTTCTATTATAGATATGAAAATTATATAGTGCTTATGCGAAGTGGTATATGAATCTGTATATGTTGTTTTTTAATTTTACAAAATTTGCATAGTTGATGTAAATATGCATACATTTTTGCATTCTTCTCGTGTTTTTGCATTTATTAAGGTATTTAATATACATTTATATTTTTTTTAAGAAATGAAAATTATATAGTGCACATTTTAAGTAGCAAAGAAATCTTGAATAGTATAATAATTATAAAAAAATGAACTAAGTTAGGTATTTAGATAATAACTTTGCAAACAAAGTATTTTTAATACTCGTAACCGTGGATACTCGTAATTTTAAAAAAAAAGTTACAGATTGGTTAGGATAACAATAATGATAAAATATAATGAACTGCCAATTGATATTAAGAATACCAATGACGTCAATAATTTCAAAAGGAAAATAAAGAAATATTATAGAGAAATTGAAGATTGAATATTAATAAATATTATATTTTTGTATAATGAAGTTGACAAATGATATGTAAATATGAAATATGAAATTTGTTTTCATAATCTCTCATACCAGACACCCCTGTCTGACTGAGATATGAAAATAATATACAAATAAATAAAAAAAAACAACGGTTAACCTATGCATATTTAATAGATTTTTGATTATTAAAATTAATCTAATAGTGTACATATATTATTTAACATATTAATTGTCACAATAGTATTAGAATAATTTTCACGTGGGTTATTGTAAGTTTAATAGATAATTTAGTTAAAAATGTATCAAAGAAAATTTTTTGGCACTTTTTTTTGTTATACTTTAATTTTTTTCTCCTCCTACTAAATCGCATATATCTGTCATGACTCGCATAGAGCATTTTAGTGTCGGACACATATGACTGACATGGCAATTAACTTGTTATTTACATTCAGCATTTATAGGAAATAGCTATTTTACTAGAAATATATTGCTTTTACTTTAATACAGGTAGGTTACTTTACGAATAATATTATCTTATCAACTAACATTCTGTTTTTTTTTTTATTTCCAGGGGTGCAGCCTGGGAAGAAGCTTTTCTTGATGCAGTCGGACAGGCTGAAGAAAATGGATACTTTAAACACATATCAGTAGCTCGTTTTGCATCACGTACCCTTGATCATGAACTGGAAAAAAATACTCGCACAGTCGTTCCTTATTTTGGATCTACTTTTGCTATCATGGCTCTATTTTCAACGATTACTTGCATGATGGGGGACCAGGTCAGTAAATTAAATTTTTACCACTTTTTATAGTACTAAAATATCTTAAAGGACTCAAATTTGTCATGGAGAAGGTTGCACTTTCCAAAATAGAAGACGCTTTAGATTTTTCATATTTATCATATCAGACACACTTAGACAATATACCATATCGAAATTTTTCCAAATGTACAATCCATACATAAATACTTGACTTTATCAATAGCAAAACTATGTAGAACACAATAATATTTGTACAACGGATGTTGAAGGCTATTTGGAAGTTCTTTTCTCAGTCGGGTTAGATGCATGCTAAAAGTTCTAAATATTCCTAAGAGTTTTCTCTTCCCCGTTGGCATAAAACCCGGCATTTTTTTTTATTTGTTGGTATGTTATCTATTATTAAACAATCTAAATATCTCATTTATTATTTTCCAGGTCCGTTCTAAGCCTTGGCTCGGTTTGTTGGGAAATGTATCGGCTGTAATGGCAACTTTGGCCGCGTTTGGAATGTCCATGTACCTGGACATTGAATTTATCGGAATCAACTTGGCCGCGCCTTTCCTCATGATAGGTGAGTGCTTTTATTTCATTTGCAATAAACGATATACTTCATGTTGTCTGCAATTCAATGTAGCCTATTATTTACAATAATATATCAAGAAAGTGAACTTTCGATCGTAAATCTACTTTACTTGTCAAGCATTGTGTTGCTTTTCGTGCTTTGCAGTTTTTAGTCACATTTTACCTAAATTCGAAATATGTTCTAAGGATAATAGATTGGTTATATATTGCTTTATGAATGTTATATGTATTGAGTATAGTCAGGTTAACAATATTTTTACTTTCTGGTAAAAAGATATCATATATTTAGATATTTTTGAGTTTTGTACTCGAATTTTTGTTTTCGAAGTGGTTTTATTCCGGATTGCTTATATAACGTAATAATAGACAAGGTAATAATGATGATTAGGCTTCAATAGATTGATATCAGTATTGCATTTTTTTCATAATTAGAATTTTTCACTCAATCTAAATTAAAATTATTTTAAAATCTTGATTACTCAAATGTAATGAGTATGTTTCACAATAAAATTTGGTTAAATCGTGTAATATACAGTTGCAGTATTTTAATGTTTGTTATTTCTGTGTACCTATCTTTTACTAGAAATAATAATAATGATGACTTTTTAAATTATATAATGCAAATTAATAATAATTGTAAGCTATATTTATATATAAAGCGCCCTAAAAATTTTTTTAACGTAGATATACTTTTACTAGGTACTCCAAACGTTCTGGTTTCATTTTTGAAAAATTGTTCTACATTTTTTTGAATATTTAACTTCCCGTAGGATAAGTTATAGTAATGGATCAAAAATCAAAAATGAAAATTTTTGCATATCTACACGTTTTAGAGGTTTCTGAACATTTTGGCATACCTCAGAAAAAGTGGATGTGTGTGTATGTGTGGAGAAAATTTTTCTTCGATGATTTGGGGCGAATGGATAAACCGATTTGAAAAATTTAAAAAGCAATCGATTGCTATTGATAAGGAGTTGGCAAAGGCAGGTCCAGGCGTTACGGAGATACGGAGCAAAGAGAGCAAAAGATAGAAACCGCGTTTTTGAGAGAATGGAGTATCCAATTTAAATGATCCAGTGAACATTCTGCTTGTATTGGCAAAAGAATTGAAAAAAAAAATATTTCAATTTTTTTCCGAAAAAAATTATTTTTGTATATCGATAATAATTCAAATTTTAATTTTAATTTTGGCTAAGTACTGAAGCTCACGTATATACTTTTTAAATAATTTTAACTCTGAAATTCAGTTTATATAATTTTTATAAATATTACAAAATGTTACAGTATTTATATTAATATATTTGAAAACATTTAAAATTCCTGGATCAGTTTGTTACAGTACGGGAAGTTCCAGCAATTTGCCTTAAGGCACGATGCCATACACCAATAGTTTTATATATCAATTATTGTGAATATATAGTCATTGGTATTACTTTACCAATTACTAATAAATAGATAAATTTAAGAAAAAATTAAAAATCTGCATATAATTACGAGAATGGCATATAGATGAATGTAGATTATCATATCTGTATTTGGATGCATGAATGTATATGGATTTATATTATCAGCAGCTATATAAAATAAAATACAAATTACAATTTTAATAAAATTACGTTTATATCATTCGATTTTATGCAGATAAGTTCCTTCTAATAATTTACAAAGACGTGCTTCCCATCTAAATGAAGTTGTTCGAAAATCTAAACTTTAATCAATCACTTTGCTTATATAGAAGCTTGTTTGAAGATGAATATTATTAATGAAGATGGTGTCTACAAGACATTAATAACAAATATATACGTCGTAGTAATAATTCATAATACAATAGGAGCCTGTGATTGAAAACAAAATTGGTAATTAGTCTTCTATTCATCAAGTAAAAAAATCTTAGAATGAAATTCCTGTCGAATAGATAACTTAACGTGAAAATTAAAAATATACTAATATGGAATTTTTGTAAGAAATGTAGACCCTTGAATTTGCGATCTGGTAAGAAATGAAATATACAATATAACCAATGTCTGGTTTATATCTTATAAATTCTCATTCTCTTTACTCAGAGGTCACAATAAATACATTTGTCTAATGTGCAATAAGGCTACAAACTGGTTGTTCTATTGCCGGCAAGTTTTTATTTGTTCTATTTGTATACAGAAATAACAATTTAGTGAATTATGTCATCGTAATAATGCACACTGTAACTTATTCATTTGCATATGTCGTAACAAAGTAGTGAATAAAAGTAGTTTTGTTAGTCAAACTCGTAATAATAATTTAAAAGCTAATTTAATAATTGACTAATTGATGTTTTTATTATAATTCATTCATTCTGAGTAAATAACTTACCTCAGAACATTATATTAATTATAAAAATTTCTAATTAACCGAATTATTCTCAATTACAACTTGTCTCATATATCACCTCAAATTTACTAACGGTTGTTTCGAACAAACAATATAATAATAATTTACGATTTAAACTGACTTGTTTATATTCAAATTTCAAGTTCGCAACGTAGCAATTATGATGAAGTCAACGAAAGCCTCCAAGTAAATAATTTAATGATCCATCATTTAAGTCGGATCGTTTCGACTTTTGAATGACATCGAGATTAAAATAGAAATAAAAATAATTTGATGCCATTAGACGAAATTAAAATGTGAAAAAACCTTGGGCATGCAACATTGCTTATTTATAAATAAATTTATAAATATAATTATATAATATATAATTGTTTTTAGATTTTGTAAGCAATACCTAATTTGTTTGAATGAAATTATTTATTGATACCTAATTCGTTTAATGTAGTGATTTACCAAAAGCAAATTTTTTTGATATTAAGATATAGAGCCAACTGTGGTGTAGCGACTAAGAACGTGGGTTACCACAAACTAGTTCCGGGTTCGATTCCAACCTCGGCCAGCTCGATATCGAGCAGTATAATATCAAATTTACACTTGAAGTTTAAGATCTTTATTAGAATCTCAAGTAAAACTCGCTTTTTTCGGCATTGCTCCAACATATATATACCATCGCTCTTAGATATACATATCTAATTTATAGTTTATACACTTAAAGAAAGTCGTTGAAACACTGGTTATACTATACGTATTAAGGTGTACAACAAAAAAAACAGTTTATAGTTACAAGAAAGGTTAAGCTCTAGCACTTTGCCCAGATTTCAGAGTTCATCATCATTATGTTCTCATGTTTGGTACATTTGATCCTTCTGTATATATTGTCAATACTTCCATCTACGACTGTTAGTTTTATATTTGAAACTTTCACATAACGTAGTATCTTACCTCATAAACTACTCAGAATTGATATTATTTTCAAAGTCAACCAATAGGTTTAACTTGATGATGAACTCTGCCCTGAGGCAAATCCGTGAACTGAGAAATCAGAGAAACTAGATGATTTTGCAGAGCCATTTTAAATCGCAACGTGCTATTGTTCTATTTTTAGTAGAAAATACAGTTTTTCTCTATATTTTCATAACTGCTTGATATTTAGTTGCCCGGGGCGGGAAAATCGAAACTAATTCCTTGTGGATTTATGCAGAACACTTATGACACAAATGCTATATTTCAACACACGTTAAAAAAAGAATAAAACTGTGATGAGTAACAATACTATTTGACAACATGTAGTTGACAAAGTAGGAGTAATATACATATTAAAAGTGAGAACAATCAGATTTATTGTATGATTCCTGGTATTCTGGTGCGTTAACTTTACATTGAAGTAAGCAAAAAGTCGCAGTCCATGAATATATTAAAACGAGCCCATGTGCACATGCATTCAGGTTTAACTCGTAGTTAGATTGGGTATGTAATGATAGCTATTGTACCTGATTAGAAGTAATTGAAGTCGAGATCGTTCTATGTCTAGCTTAAATGACAGACGTGACGCCGTTTGATTCATTCTGGAATTTTATAAATCTGGCCTACAAAAATATACCATGGACTAAATAATTGAAAGTGACTAAATATACTAGATAGAATAATCAAAACTTTTGTCTCTCATTTGTTGTCAACTACTTCTGTTAATCCAATAGCTATATAGACATTATTAAAATAGATGTCAGGTCAAAGTTTTATTCTTTTAAATTAGTGCCTATTTTATTTTGGTGAATTGGCATGTCTAAATCGAGTACCAATCCAGTGGTTGGACATCTGGGTATGATGGTAAGGACTAAAAGTAGTAGATCTAATTTTGAACAAGCTTTTCTTATATCAATATAAAATAGTGTATGTTTTTTAATTTTACAATCTGCCAATATAACATTATCTTAGAAAATTTGCATCAAGCATACCTGTAATGGCATCGTGCTCAATAGGCATGAAAGTGGTACCAAAATCTAAATCTGGTTCTTTGTATAAGATCTCATTGAGAATTTAAATATGATACACTAATATACTTGTTGTTATAATAAATATACCAAATACACGCACATATTGTTTCGATAATAGATATTGACACCAAAAATGGTCAAAAATTTAATCAATAGGTAACACTTCACTTCCATGCAATAGGGTTTCTGCAGTATTTTTTCATCAACATTTAGTCATTTGATAAATTGTAAACGTAAAATTCAAAATCAAGATGAAAACAATCAAAAGTATAAAGTAAAATTCAATAGTATTTACTAATATAAAAATTGTACGTAAAATAAAGAAGTACGGACAGACCAATATGATGTAGGACATTGAATAGATATCCATTTCAAATAAAAAATAACGAAAGTGGCTACTACAGGTTAATTGCTACAAAAAAGAACGGATTCCTAATTAAACGTACTCAAACTGGTCAATAAGCAACTAATCGACTTCAATTTATTCTAATTTTCTTACCTGTGCACTCCAATTGTACCCATAAGACTCTTGAATAACTTCATGAAATTTTAGCTCAAGGAAATGAAATATGATAGGTTCTTATATTATGTATATTAATGCATTTTATTATTATCTTGAATTTCATATGTAAAGCGATATATTTAGACATAATCATTAAATTGTTATTATAACATATGAGAAGCGCAACCCAGGTATTATTGGAATGTGAGGCCACCCATGGTGCCATATTATATGATGTTATTTTAGGCAATACGCCGAATAAAAAATAATTACTCAAAATAAATAAGTTCTCAAATATAAATATGTAATATGACTAGTAATAATAAAGAGCGGTCGATTTGTTCCATACATCGCTACCAATTAAACATTGTCAATTTGTGGTACATAAGAAATAGATAAGGCATCTTTAAATTTAAGAGGATTTTATTTTAATCTTTTAATATGAATTGGTAATATTAAGATAATTTTTGATCATGCGTCTTCATCTTCCTGTTCCTCTCCTCCCATACCATGAGCTGCTTTCAAATTAGCGATTTCATCCTCCAAATCCTTGATGTCTTCTAAGTGACCAGTTAACTCTGCCTTAGCATTTTCTATGTCTTCCTTAGTTGCTCCACCGATTTGCTTGATGACGTAATCTAAAGGATCATCTGTAATAAAATGTGGAAATTTAATTTTCATAAATAATAATATAGACTAGTCATTTTATAGTTAGACTATTTGTAAAACATCATTCTCAGAGTCATGGACTTTAAATAGTTTTATTGGGCTATTTTTAGCATATCAATGGAAACAATGATTTCAGTAACAATTCAATACCAGGAACTGGAAAAGTTTATTATATTAGTTACCAATTTTATTACAATTTTCTTGACCTTTTTAAATTTGTAATTCCATAACGATTTAAATACAGTACTAATATAGACTTCTCATAATATAGTTAGACTATTTGTAAAATAATTATCGATAATAATAAAATATCGATTTCAAATAGTTTTATTACATTAGGTTATTTTTAACAAATTAATGAAAAGATAGTAATTTCAGTATCTATTCAAGACCAAGCACTGAAAAAGGGTTAGTGTGTTCCCAATTTCATTACCATTTTCTTGGCATTTCTAAATTTGTAATTTCACAACGATTTAAATATTAAAAGATCACAGACACAATAAAATTATTCTCTTTAGTTCTTTCAACTTTGTTTCATTTGTGTGTTTGAACCTAAAAAGTTTATCGACCAAAGAGTATTCCAATAAAGTTGTAAAATTTTATTGACATGTGAATTGGATTTAAATTTTTGTGTGAGAATAATGTACCATGTTCCTAATTTCAATTTGCACCAGTGTGCGAATTTTTTGTAATGATAATAGTACATATAGATCTACTAAAAAAATAAAAATAATAAAATTGTAATAAACTATGAGATCAGTCAGTCACAAAAAACTGAGGTTTTTACAGTTATTATTTGAAAAGTGTTCAAATGCATAAACTGTGAAAAATCAATGCCAACGGTCTCCAAAATATACTGGCAATCAGCAAAAAAGGTATAAACTTGTTAATTGAATTCAAAGTAATGTGTGAGAATGGTATGTACCGCCAAAATTTATATGGTATCATTGTGAAAAATAGGTTTTAGATTATCTCGTCACTATAATTTTAAACTGTAATCTGTTGATATGTTTTAAAAATCTAATTTAAAAATGAATTTTTATAAACCTTTCATTTTCAATCATTTTGAACAGGCTACTCCTAAATATTTTGTGAGAGTAAATTGGTTTTGGAAGCTTGGCAGAATTTGATCAAATTGCAGCTTATAAAAGTAAGATAAATGTGATATTGTTCTTATAACAAATTAATACTATCTTAAAAGTGTCAAAAATACAATGTTTGAATTTTTTCCAAAACTTGTGCTCACGATATCCAAAAATATCACATAGATACATGCGGAAGGTCAATAGTCTCTCATATCAAGACAGCATTAATCATCTATAAAGTGCTTATATTATATTATACACACTTGTTAACAAATTGCTATACTGTATAATAAAAATACGTTTATTATGTCATAAACTTCTTTTTTTCTCAATTGAGTTCAACCGTTTCTATCCAAAGTTACCTGGTTTTTCGTCTTCCTCGTACAAACTGACCAGCGCCTTGGTGACTGCGTCCATGACACCAGCGCGTTCCAAATATTTACGAAATTCCTCACGTTTTGCGTCAATTGGTTTATAATAGCTTGCCATTTTTGCAATTATATTGAGAAATAACTTTTTATAATTATATACGCGATGTAAATATTTTTAGTTTTACTTCTTTTGTTTCCCTGAAACAAAAATTGACATTGGAATTTTGTAATGGACATGGACACATAAACAGCGTGCCTGGTATTGACTTCACATGTTTCATATAATAAAAAAATATAGATTTTACCTTGATTTTGCGATTAGTAATCACAGGATCTTTTTGGATTTCGGTGAGCAATTGTGGTAACTCTATAAAAAATTACCATAGTTCTCGATTCTTCTTAAGAATCTTTTTAATGCGTTTGTCTGCCAATAATAATCCATTCCTTGTTATTGCTCATAGTGTCAATGAACGAATTCAAGATTTATTTACAGTATTCAAGACGCATTGAATATTTTATGCACTTTTGCAAATTAGAGAGCATGTCAAACAATGGTCGATGCAAAAAAATAAACATTCTACGAAATAATATTTCCAACGACTACCAGTGAGTCATTTTGTTGCGGTTTTAAGTTCCATGACAAAGTTTAAAGCTCATTTTGAAAGCCTATATTAGTCATGGTAATAATGTGACTAAAAGTTGTCAATTTTATATTAAAATATATTTTTACAAATTTGAAGAACATTGGAACTTAAATAAATTTTATTTTTTTATATT